AGAGTATGCAAGTGTGTATTGCATTCTTTTAGTTTCTCCTGTTAGAAACATATTTGATTTTATATTTTTATAATTCTTCTTTACTAACGTTTTGGTGTATAAATATAACTACAAACAAAACTACTTATACATCTAATCCACAAATTTAAACTAGGGGTGGGTGGCATCGTGCCTTAAGGCAAAAATGCTGGAACTTCCCGTACCGTACGAAACGTTCGAGGAAATTGAATGTTTTCAAATAGATTATATAAATATTGTATATTGTCTAATATTTATAATAATTATATTAAACTGAATTGCAGAGTTGAAAATTATTTGTTTAAAGTATATTAGAACTATAGTCAGGGAAAAAAAACAAATCTGAATTATTTTCGATATACAAAAAATTAAAAAAAAAAAAAAAAAAAAAAAAAAAAATGGTTCAAAATTTTTTTTCCAAATTCAATTATTTTGTTGAAGACAAGCAGAAAGTTCTTTGAATCAATGAATCGGACGCTTAGTTCTCTCAAAAACTGCCATTTTTTTTACATTTAGCTCTGTATCTCCGAAATGGCTGGGCCTGCCTTTGCGAAAAACTAATTACCCCTTCCCAATCATTACTAATGGAATGTTTTTTAGATCATTCAAATCGGATGCTCCGTTTCTCTCAAAAATCGATTTCTATTCTGCACTCTTTGCTCCTTATCTCCGTAACTGCTGGACCTGTCTTTGCCAAAAACTAATCAGCTCTTCTCCTTATTAATAGGAATCAAATTTTTTTAAACCATTCAAATCCATACATACATACACACACACACACACACACACACACACACACACATCCACATACAATTTTCTTCAAAAGTATGCAAACGTTAAGAACCTTCAAAACGTCGAGAAATGTAAAAATTTTCAATTCCGATTTTCGGCTCATTACAATAACTTACCCTACGGGAAGTAATATATTCACTTAAAAACATCTATCAAACGTAATTGAACATCATCTGTTAAAAACGTTTGACGTATTAGCCACCGTCCCATGTTTTATTCAAATTACGCTTCTACAAAAATGTTCAAATTAAAAATGTAAAGTTTCTACACGATTTTGAAATAATATCTCACCTTTGCGACAACCTACTGATTAGCACAAATATTTCAAGATTAAGACTGGCCAAATCGGTTTAGCGGTTTTCGAGTTTTAGCGGATCATTTGATCGAGAGCTCCATTTTGATATATAAGATATATATATATATATATATATATATATATATATATATACACACATAAATCCTTTACCATCCCTTACCTTATTGTATACCCCCGCGCTGGACAGCTCGTTCTCGATGACCATGACTATGATGCCGAACATGCCCATGACGAGGGCGTAGTCGCTGATCCTCTTCCTCTTCTCGAAGAGGGCTTTCCTTCGGCCGAGGCGATAGCCGACGTTGGGCTTGTGCCTGCTGCCGGCGCTCGAGGGCGCTGTGCCGGGGCCCTTGAGGGCGCCGCCGCCGAGGCCGCGCTCCTCCATGAAGCGCGGGTACTCGCTATGAACACCTGGGAAAAAGATAAAGACGAATGATAGATATGTTATTGGTATTTTTCACTAATTTAATTGAACAGTTTTTTTAGACCCATGGTTATAGTATAATAATAATAATAATAAATGGTAGTCTGCCCGAAGGCAGGTTCATGGTGTGAGAGCCACCACATGATTTCCTTGCCCTTCATCCCATAACCTATTTATTTATTTGGTTAATTTTAAATGGTTATAGAAGTGAATATTATTTTGTAAAAGCACAACAAGTAAAAAAAACTAGTTTGTTTAGTATTTAGCCTTGAGGCAAGTTACATGAACTTCCCGATATGTTTAAATAATCGGCTTAATCAATAAAAAATAAATTAATTTATGAGTCATTAAAAATATTCCGAGTGGATTTATTGCACATTATTGCAAACGAACGAACACAATAATCGAAGTATTTTTTGAAAGCAAATTTTCAAAAATCAATAATTTTTTAATTGAACCAGTTTCCAATGATTTATTACGTTTATTAAGACCAAGTACTTTATCGTTATAGCAAGTAAATCGTCTAATTTTAATTTTAGCTACTATGAACACCTGCAAAAAAGATAAAGACACATGATAGATATGTTATTTGTGTTTTTTACTAATTTATTTCAAGAGTCATTGCCCGTTATTTGTATCTATGGTTATAAAAGTGAGAAATATTTTGTAAATGAACAAAAAGCAACAAACGCAAAATTAATATATATATATATAATACATTCGCTATTAATGTATAGGTAAAATTTTGAATGTTAAAATGATCTTCGTTAAATTCCCATGGTGAATCGTTTTCATGCAATTAAGGGGGTCTTCCTATGTGACGGCCTGTTTTTTAGGGATATTTTAGAATTTTTTTTCTACGACCAGTAAATAGTTAGAGCTTCAAGTTTTTTATCATTTATTAATACATATTTGGACAGTATAAATATAAAATTTCAGCTAAAAAAATTTAGTCCAACTAGAGTTACAGCGCTCTAAACACCCCCCCCTCAAAAAAAAGAGCTCCCACTGTCTCCACGATTCCGGCTGATCGGCTTATCTGACCAAAAAAAAATAAAACGGCGTTTTAATTTGTAGGCTTAAAAGCACGGAATGATCTAGAATCAAATGAATACAAAAAAAATTGGATGTTTTATAGACATTTGAAATAAAAGTTGCAAATTAGGCGTTTTTTTTTTTAGTTTTTTTGCTATAAAAAATCGAAGTTTTGAAATTTTTGATTGATAATAGGTCATTCCATGCGTTTAAATATATTGAATGTGCCCTGTAAATTTCAAGTAATTCGGTCTAGCCGTTTCTGAGATACAATGGAGACAAGTTTGAAAAACACAGTTTTGAGAAAAACGCGTTTAAAAGATAAAATGATCGTTGTACTATATACTATATGTATACTTTTTAAATGACTGTAACTCAAAAACTATTTGAGATATCGATTGAAATTTTAATATGTTATTTTTAAAGGTATAATCTACTGAAATATGAAATAAAAAAAAATTCAAATTTTTCAACTCATCATAGGAAGACCCCCT